TAGTTTGTAATGGAGACCTTCGAGCCTGTCCAGTGGATTTTTTAGGTGAGATGCAATATGCGTGGAACTGGGCCCACCCTTTAATCCTAAGGTTCATCTGCCAGGGCCGAGCGAGCTTGGACGGTGGCAGTGAGGTCCTCAGGACGTAGGTTTGATTAGATTGTCCTTCTCTTAGATGGATGGCCTTACAGGGCTAAGCAAGCTCCATCTGCCCCGGTCTGGGATTAGAGTTGTCCTTCTCCTAGGATGACTACCAGAAGGCTAACGAGCTCATCCTGCCCGAGGATGTATTGTATCTGACCCTACGGTTTTGACCTGTCTGGGGTGGGCAACCCTACCAAGGCACGTACCATCGCCAGCATAGCTCGCAGTCACATAGGGGTACACAGGCTACATTACTATTAAAACGATTAGGACAAGTCTTTCACTTCTTATTTTTCTACCACCTATCTATATTCAATCCCAAGGAAATACCCAGGAACAACCCTTTGTCCTGACCGCCCTTTCAGGATGTAACAAATATATCCAGAACATACTGAGCCTGGGCAGTAGCTGCAGGTGAACCAAAAACAAACAAACGAACAAAACCGTTCTGGCCTAATGGAGACCAGAGCAGACATGAATTCCCGCCTCAAAAAGGTGCAGACATAAAGCAGAGTTAGCAGCCACATGATATACAGATCTTTCCTTCATCTCCTATAGCTGTTGTAAGAATTTCTGTATGACAGAATTTGAAAGTTGACTTATCTATATGAACTGCAATGCCAAGTGGACAGGTAGTGACATAAAAAAAAAGTTTTACAGATGAAGCACTATAATGCAAGTTGTTATTTAAGTGTTTTTTGAAGCTTTTTCTATTAAATAAATGAAGATATGATTATCTGTGCCCTGTGTCTGCTGCATGTTACAGTACTAATGAAGATACAGGTTTCATTAACTTCAGTGAAGGCCACATAGCTCCTTTTGTGGTTGCTCACCTTCTTCAGATCTGCAAACATAGTTAGAAAGAGACAGAAAGAAAGAGAGAATTCCTGCTGTGGTTCAGTGTATTGTCACCAGAAGAAAGAGGCAGCCTTTAGAACCGGTTTTAAGTTATGGTTATGGCAATTCTTGGACCACCCCAGCTTTAAATTTTCTAAACATTTCATTTTGCTTTATGGTTATAATGTTTAGAATTTGTTACTGGTTCTAGTAGCTGCAGATCTACTTATTTATATCATGCTCCTGAGTTTACATTTCACTCTATCAGTTAAACTTAAACCAGTTCACACAATATGTCAGAAGTATTTTGTGTTAGAGTTCTTAGATTTACAGGCTCAATGATTTCATTACAATTGCTCTGGATCTGCAGCAGCTGTAGCAAATCAAACTATGGTTCACAGACTTTACATAGCAACTCACAATTAATTTGGAATTCTTTTAATGGACTTCCTTACTGTACATAAAGAGTGCAAATGTACACGGAACCCTTTTTTTTTTTTTCCTATTAAGAAAACTCATTGTCTTTCTCTCTAGAACAATAATTATAGATATTCTACCCCAGCAATCAAATACAGGATTTGCACTTCAATTTTCAAATACTCTTTACTTATAGGTTTCCAGGCATTGTTTTTTTATTTATCTGTCAGCATTTACTTAACTGGAGATTTTACTGCTGAAACAAACCCAGGTTTGACAGAGATCTGTTGTATTTGCCTTATTAACAGAAAATAAGCAGTAAACCCACCTTGTTTACTCTGCAGAGACCCAGCACTGTACTACATGAGGACTCCAAAGTCCTGGGGCATCTGTGTTTGTACTCATCTAAGACTGAATCCTAATATTTGAACATCTGTGTTGCCATCCTTCCACCCACTGTTTAAAACCTTATAAGAAGTCTCCTAAAACACCCCTTGAGGTAAGAACATGTACCTATCCAACTGAAAAGATGCTGAGGCAGAGAGATTGACTGCCTTGCCTGAGGCCACGCATTTCTCTTGAGTTGAAGTTGTGTGTACCTTTCCACTACTTGCTTTGCTACAAAACTTGTTGTGTAAGGGTGTAAGACTTGCAACCCTTACACAGCAATCTGAGCACTGTAATGAGAAGATTCACCCTGCGAGAACATTAAACTAGGGAAAAAAATCAAACTCCTGCATATACTGATATGTGAACTTTCCCTTTCTCCTCTATTCTGTTAGGTTTCTTTCCAGTGCAGGCATCTTTCACCATGCCCAGCAGCCATTCCCAGCTTTCCTATGCCAGCACCTCTTGCTGCCAAAGCCAGAATATCAAGCAGCAGTTCCAGCTTCTCCTTCTGTGCCTTTGCCCCAGCCCTTCCCTCGGCAGGCAGGGAAGGAGCCTGAGGCACCCTCACAGCCCACCCTGCTTGAGAATCAGGTTTCAGACAAAAAAGCTTTGTCCTTGGGCACAGATATGAAAATCAGCTTGTTTGGGTATTTCTGGCTCTCCTGGAGCTCCAGCCTGGGTCATGTGTTTGTAGGGAGCCAAGGAGTTGTGTAATGGCTGGGATGTGTGGGGGTTAGAAATGCATGTGAGTGCATGTAAGCTCAGGCTGGTGGGGGAATTGCCCTTGTTTGTATATATGTCTTGTTTGAATAGACCTGCTGCACCCTACATCTTATCTAAATACAAAATAAGGCCCACAGTTTCAAGCAGCTCCCTTATGCCTTCCCTCCTCCAGTTCGCTTTAACCAGCCTGAAAATGAAAACAGATCTTTAAAACTGGGGAAATTGTTTTGAACTTGTCACACTAACTTATTGATACCACCTCAGGATACCCAAAGTATACGTATTCAATCTGTTGAGCATCTAAGATCCCAGCTGAAGCCTGAGAAAATTAATAAATAACATCCTACAACAACTTGGAGGGGAGTTTTAGAGAGAGGTGAGATTTGAGAGTTTGCACTTATGTTTGCTTTACTCACTGAATATGATTTTAGCTTTCATAGTGTAAGCCCACATTTTGATTTTTGTGTCCTGTTTGAAAATACATACCATAAATTAGAAAGAGTATTAAATTTTCCATAACAAGATCCTTCAAAGAAAAAAATCCATTTGGAATATCTCAGAATCAGAAGTGTTTACATTTTGTAGACTTATGATGAGAGAGAATGAGTTTTTGAGAAATTTATTAATTGTACCTGGTTTTTTTTAGGAAAAATACAAGAATCACAGAATCACAACCAAAGGAGAATCTTCACTAACCTTAACAGGCACCAGATCATGCCCCTTTACAGCAGATCTTAATGGTCAAATGCAGAACACTTGTATACCTCAGTATTACAGAAAGGTGCCAATAATAGCAGTCCCACTGGGTAGATGATAAACTCATCTATGCTGGGGTCTGTGCTTGGAGACAGAGCCTGCATTGCCTTCTCCACTGACAGTATCTCAAATACTCATGCTGAGCTACCGCCAGACAGCTGGCACATCAGCATAAAATCCACTGCAACCTGCAGTTGTGTGCAAGAAATGGAGCAAATAGCTGTGTGATTTAGCCTGTGCTCCTGTGGTTTAACTGCTGCTAGCACAGTTTCCAGCTGATTCAAAGCAAGCCCAGGTATGTGAACATGACCTGCTCTTGGAGAACTAACAGGTAGACATGACCTCCTCCCTGCTCCTGATTATGCAGCAGCCTCCAGGAGTCCTTGGGCACTCTGATGATTTACTTCTACCCTTTCACTGAAGCTGTATTTTTCCTCTGTCCTAGTAGTTCATGTGTTTTGTTCTTCTTGAACAGATATGTCTGCTCTCATCCATGTATCCTACTATTACATTTAATACCATTTCATTGTAGTATTATTCTGGGTTCTTTTCAGTTTGCTGGCATACAGTAATTTCTTATTAAGTCTTTCTCTCCAAATATCATTATCTTTGGTTGACTACCAAATTTGTTTTAGTGCATTATTGTCAATGCATATATTAGTTTTCACTTGCCTTTCTTTGTGATTCTTTTTCTGTATAAAACAGTGTAAAGTATAAAGACTTAACATGGATTTAATGTTCCATCCCATTTAAAAAAAGGGCAATTATTAGTGTCTAAAATGCACCTTGCATAATCCTAAATGATTATATGAATGAGATCTTAATTAGAGAGAACTTTATTCTTTAATTAATGTATTCCGGACATCTGTAGTTTTCATTTATAAAAATCTAGTTCTTGCCATGGGTATATTTTTAAGTGACACATGATGCAAAAAAGAGATGAAGTTTTCTGGTATTTGTTAGTTGCAAATACCAAGGTGGCTACTTGGCACTTGTAAATCTGATGCTGTTTATCATCACAACAGTTTGATCAGTTTTTTTTTTTTTTTAAATACTGACCAATCCCACAGGCATCTAGTCAGATAAGTAATTTTACTGACACGTATAGATGATTTATGGTTTGAGACTTACAGATATTTAAAATGTAAAGGGGAGAAGCTACTGTCTAAAAGCACATTTGGGGGGGGGGGGGGCAGAAATAAGATTTAAAAGCAGAACCTTTTTCCTTAAAGTAGGAAAGGATATGCAACTGGAATCTTTTATTCTGATCCACTTGGTAGCATGCTGTTTAATGACTCTAAGTGATAATGTACTTAAATGGTTAATGCAAGGGTTGATCCTCCTCTAAAACTGAGCTGGGAACAAAAGCTGAAATGACTTTTGGTAAGGGAGGGACGGGAGGAATTCTGACCCTTCTCCCGGCGCTTTACAACGTGAAACCGCAAAGCAATTGAGGAATCAACTCACGGTATGTGGATTAAAACGCTTCCTAGAAGCAGCTAGTACTGTACATTGCCTCAACCCTCCCTGAACTTTCTCAGTGAATACAGCAGCCTGACAGCCTGGCTTCCCGCTGGGTGGATCCTGCAACTCCAGGAGGGAATGGCACTTCTTGTTTTTAATTAGCAAAGGTGAAAGGTGAATTAAAACTAGCTGTTTGGCAAGTCAGAGCAAGGGGCTGAATTCTGAAGAGCACCAAGGAGGAGGGTGCTTTCTCCTTTTTTCCTTTTTTTTTTTTTTTCCCTCCCTCCTTCTCTGAATGAATTGCCTTGCAGGAGGGACTGAAAATACAGCTTCTTCCTGAATCCAGTGGCAGAGTTACTAGAGACAGCTCAAGACACAACACTGCAGAGTAACGCCTTGGAATGTCCTCGCACTTTATAAACAATTGTCCTAGGGAGGGAATATTTTTACATGACATTTGCACAGCTTGACAAATGGCTAGCTGAGGCTGTGTGCTGCTCTGATGAACGTTGAATATTATACAGAGATACCCCACAAACTGACCAAAGAGAGCGATCTAACTGCACTGGGAAAGTAGAAGTGGAAGTTGGAGCCTTAAAAACGCCCCACCAAAACAACTAACAAACAGCAGCATTTAAGAGAAGAGAGCAAGAAATTTATCTTGGGCAGGATGGCATCTGCCCAGGACCTTTTAATCCTGGCACTATATGGCTTGTTACTAGAGTTACCGGCTGGATGTCACGCAGCGGATACGAGGCAGCCAAGGTTACGTCTGTCACATAAAGGTAGGTCAGTGTGTCAGGTTTTTAAAGACTTTATGCTAATACAGGTTCAATGACTTCACCGAATGTACTGCATAGGGGTTAAATTATGGTCCTCTGTCAGAGTAAAATGTTCCTGTTAAGGAATCTTGTGAATTGTTTCCTTGTACTAAACTGCATCCTTGAACAAGTTTACCGAATTCTGGAAGACTTAAGATACTTACAAGTGATGATTTTATCCTACTGAAATACTCTAACAAAAAGTGTGTTAGATTTGCATGTCATTCTCAGTTATTCTCCATGCTGTAAGGAGGCTGCCAGGTCTCTTAATAAGAGGGAAAGAAATGGAGAAGATAACCTGAAATTATTGCTGAATAAATGCACTCTTGTGCATCATGTAACCTTTAAACAATTAAATGTCTGTTTCACTTTTAGAATTCTATCTGTCTACAAATATAGCTAAGGCAAAAAGACTGAATTCCTGTGAACCATATGATTCATTTTCTAAACTAGCAAGTGTCATCACACTATAATTAAAATGACTAACTGCCAATGTAAGTCTGTTTGCAGTTTAACTGAGTTACCCAAAGAAAAAAGTGTTATTTTTTCTGACATATGTATGTAGAATACTTACAACTTGTTTGTTTGTTTGTTTTAAATTATTTAAGTTTCAGTTACCTGAAGCCTGAACCATTCTTCCTTAGCCAATTCAGAGTGTCCTTATTCAGTTCTGGATTGCATGTGATTTAAACTCTTCACTATGGTTTGGGTTTAATCCTGTATATATATATATATATATATATATAAATACCTGTGCACAACCATGGCATTTCAGTTCTCTGCGGCAGTACATACATTCGTAGATTATATATTTAGAGATGTATGACAGATAACTATTGCAGTAGGAGCAAAAAATATGTGTACAAGATAAACTGATGATTGGCCAATTAATAATGTTTTGATATTAACTCTTATGCATAGATGAAAAGAAAATGCTTTTCTTCTGACATTGTTGGGAATGAGCAAATTCTAATTTACTCAAGAACATTTCAGTGGTTATGCAATTGATAACTAAGCTGCATCAGTGTGAAATACTTTAGAACACCTATTATAAGTATGGATAAAATTTCAGAATTAACATCAACCAGAGCTCCATGTGTTGACAGGTTTACTATAAACAAGGTTTAATTGTGTTTTATATAGCAAGCTAAATTACCAGTCATAAGGAAGGGAGAAGTTGAATAGGATAATTGGTCCGAATGTCTTGCTAGGAAGCTATAAGAAATGGGGTTTGCTTTTATAGGGCAGTGAAACACATTTTAAAAAAATAAATATTTGTCATGAAAAGCTTTCTTGTAAGTAAACAATTAACTGCTCTAAATGAAATAAATGATATGACCTCTCAATATATAAACCACTCATGCTTTAACACATGATTTCAGAGTACAGTAGGAATGCTGATTATATAATCCTTTCACATCTTTTGCTGTTGAAAATGTGCATTTGAACACTGGTTTATTTCTAGCTGTAATTACAAGGGCTATAATTATTATTGATATTTGTTTGCTTGTGATGAGGAAGAGAGATGAGAAAAGCACAATAGATGAGACAAATAGACCTAATGTTATGTTGGTTCAGGACTTTGGCTTAACTGCCAATTTTGGCAAGCTCCCCACTATGGTGCTGCAACTGTTAGCTGCTTCTCTGCTCACTTGTAGTACTAATTGCTTTTCTGATGGTTGGAATCAGTGTACACACTACATACTACTTCTCTTTTCAGCAGTGAGCCAGCAATTTGGCCATAGCACATCATAACTCTGACATCATAAGTCTAATATTTTCAGAGCGATCTTAAAACATCCATTTGTCACAGAGGGCCAAATGAGGGCCCTGCCTGATGGCAGTTCACTCAGATCCAATGACACAGGAAGATTTGTCCTCATAAATTCCCTCCCATGAAAACACATATTTCACCTTGTACAGTACCCCATCTCATTTTTCACACTTATGAAATGTGACTGATTTTACAAGCTGTGTTGCAGTCAGTGAGCGCCTGACCACCTATCCCCAGCCAAAAGCTGGAAGTGGCATACCTGCCTGCCACCCTGGGAACAGCTCCTGCAATCCTCCCAGCCAAAAGAATGTAGCGACCAAGCATGAAGACAATGAGTAAATGTCGCTGTTGTATTCACTAATCAAAGAGGAACAGCAGGAGGGTCCCTCATCTTAATTGCTTTTACTCCATCAAAAGGCTGCTGTGGGTACCAGTGAGGTGCAGGGTAGTTACAAAGAAGTCGTCATGCAACCTCTGTGCACAGAGTTGTTTCAGCCTGTCCTGTGAGTTGCTGCTACAGAGGATGAAACCCACTTGCGTACATTTTCAATAGCTGTAAACTCAGTTAAAAATTTTGCTGCAAAAACCTTGAAACCTGAAAATGAGCAGATCTGTTCGCTGCCTTGGAACTGCAGGTGCTCATGGCTAATTGGGATTCAGGCCATTGCAAGATCTGCTAGTACTGACTGGAAAGTTAAAGGCTCTGTGATGAGTATGACATATGGACATGAGATTTTTTTGTTATGAAAGAGTACTTAATTAATCTACTTTAAAGTCTTGTTTCTTTAAGGAGCCAGAATAAGGCTTCTACAAATTAGAGACTCATTTGGTTTTTATAAATTCACAAATTTCTCTTTTTTTTCTTCTTTAAAAGTGATGTTCAGTGAAAGTGAGGTAGTGATCTGACAGTGAATGAGAACCTTTTGCTCTTGCTGCGAACCAGACCTTCACCTGCAGTGCACACGTGTCTCCAAACCCACAGCAATAAGATCAGATCCTAACCCTGGTGCAGAGGGGTCACCTGATGGATAGGAATACCACAATCCCCTTGACAATTATTGTGCAACCCCTGTTTGACTCTATGGCCATTTACTCTGCTTCAGTGGGAGTTAATGAAAGTCTTGCATTCTTGAACTACTGTTAAACCTGTTAAGTCAATGCAAAATGGTAATGGTGATTTTAGGTAAAGTAGAAGATGGTCTTCATTCACAGTAAACGCAAACATGGATTTTGTCATTCCTTTATATGAGATTAGAACTTAATCCTATAACCACCTTGCAGTCATTTTACAGTTCTAACTTCATTTTTAGTAAGTTGAACTGTGTTTATACCCAGGACTTGAAGATGTTTTCCTCAAACAATCAGTTTGTGTCTATTAGAAATTTTACACTGCAATTAGTAGCACTTGTGGTATTAGTGGTATGATTGCACTAAAGGTCAGTGTTTGATGATGACCAACTAAGATCTGTGTGCTCTACTAGCTTCATGTTGATTTGTAGAGATAAAAATATTACAGAGAACTAGATTTTTAAGTTATAGGTTGGCAACTACCTTTAAAATCATTAGCTCATTTTACATACAGTACAGACTCTGGCTAATTAGGTGCTAATTGAAGCCAAGCCTCAACCTCTATTCTTTATGGGCTGCTGGTTAAATTCTTTCTGAGTATCCCACAGTTTGAGTTCTCGCAATGGGAAATATACAATTAAGGTGAAATCAGCACACACTGCGTGTTAAAAAGAAACTATTTACATTACAGATTGAAATGGATTGGGTTTCCAGAGGACAGGAGGGATATATTTATATAAGCCTCATAGAGCTGAACTGGAAGCATGACGACCTAAAAGGCTCATGAAAGATGTAATTGTATAATTCAAGTATTATGCATGGTGTACTGTGTATTTCTAACTGGTTTTGGATTATTTTTTTTCTCTAGTTCATGAATACGGTAAGGAACAAAGGTAATATAGTATGAAAATGAGATGAGTGTTCTCTATACAATTTTATTGCCAGAATGGGATCTGGTGCAGTCAGTTATGTCCAGCGATTTGCAGATCTTGAGGGATATGTTTTCTGTTTTACCCAGTACATTGCTCTTGAGTGACTTCACAAATTTTGGAATTACCTGATCTCAGGTTGTGTAGTTAAGAACTGGACAATGCTCTTGGCTGGAAAAGGTATGATTAAGAAGCAGTTGTGCCTGTCTCGCCCATCCAAATATCTCTCTTTTACTTGATTGTAACTTTCTACAGTAGAGTCAAGCTGCAGCAGGCAGAAGGAGAAGACTGAACTTAAAAGGAATTCGTCTGGGTTAAAAAATTTATTCTCTAAGCATAAATACTTCAAACAAAAGCAGCAGATAGCTAAAGAAGGGAGAGCTGAAATTTTGCAGACAAAAAGTGATATTTCCCATGTATTCAGATTTTAGTACGTAAAATGTATAATATAAAATATTTAATGTAGAAGAATTTAGGTTTCTTAGGGCTGAGTAATAATCTTTGAGGGCTGCTGAGATCTGTTACAGCAGAAAAAATGTTTCATTGTCATTTGCAGGGACCAGAGTTTCAGCACACCTGCTTTAGCTTTCTTGATATTTGCAATTTAGATTTTATTTTAACTAACACTAAGAGTTTCACTATGCTTATCCATGGTATCTTACTCTCGCTGTTCTTTAGCTAGGTGGCAGTAAAATTTACTCAGAGGCTAACAACTAAATTGAGTAACAAAAAATGTAGGGCTTTTTTAGATAGGCATTTCTGAATTCTGAAGTAGCAAATATATTTAATACAAGTATGGTATTTTCAATTAGTAATCAACTGGCCACACAAATCATGGTTAATTAATGACTAGCCACATAACCTATAACTGAATCATGACTGATTCAATTTCATGCATGAAAATGTTTTCTATTTTTAACAGCTTTCCCTCTTATAGAATTTTGGTTTTGAATGACTCGGAAAGATTAGTTTTCCTACCAAAGCAAATTCAAGTTCAAGAAAGTTGTTAATTCATGCTAGATGTAAATCACTTTGAATTTGTACCTGAATAAGGATTTGACTTGTGGTCTTTGCTTACATATAGTTCAGAGAAGTCTACGTCTGAAAAAGATATATGATATTGTGTATGTATCTTTAAAACGTGTGTGCATATATATATAACAGATTGAAGTTTTTATATTTCTTACAGTGAA